TGGAGCGTCATTAGTTGATTTTCCTTTCCGTTTTTGAACTTTCAGTACCACGTTGACTTTTACAGAGCAATTCAACAAAGGGCAGCTCCACATGTGGCTGAGGTTATTCAGGAAAAAGCTTGCACAGAGGGTTAGAAGTCTCATTATTGCAGTTTTCCACCTCCAGTGTGAAGCTGGTTCTAAACACAAATGGTCAAAAAGGACAATTTTTATGGTGAAAGACTGAAATAACTTCAAACGTTCAATGAGTGATTGCTGATTTTGCTGATAGCATAGGGAGACATTAAATAAAAAAAAGAAGTGTCACCTAGAAAAGCCTGGCTTTATCAGCAGCTTTAAAGGAATTCACTGGTTTAGATGTTTAAAAGGTGCATGGGTGATCACTCTCAGGGTGCTGGTGGAGATTCTGATAAATAAGACCAGAAGAAATGATCAGAGGATATTGCAAAAAGAGCGTCAAGTATCTTTTCCGCCCATCTGTTTTTACCCTTTCAGGAATCTTGACCCAGACGTGTTCTGTACGGATGAGCGCCTTCTTGCACTGAGGGACCCTGGAGATGGAGAAGATTTGCCGCAGAAGCGAGAACATGAAACTAACGGATAATAAAATGTTTCCAGCTACCTTCAAGAACAAGATAAGGTTTGTTGCTCATCTCTGACTATAGCCTCTCAAGTATCAGTGTAGAATGAAAGATACTTCATCTGTGCACATATCTGTATGTGCAAACATGAAGATGTTTAGAGGTTTTATTAGATAAAAATGCCAAAAGAGCAAAGAATCCATAAAGTGTTTTACAAAAGGAATCTGAAACTTTTTAGCAACAAGAGCATTTCTAAAGACATTAATGGATCAAGAACATTAGCAATCGAAAATCTTAAGATTTTGGAAATGAAAATGTACATAATTTCAGAAAAAATATTAAATTTCTGTGTGTTCAATGTGTTTTTTTTTGGTTTATTGATTTTTTAGTCCTTCTCAGAACTAAATTTGCTGGAATTATACCAACCAGTAGAGTATATTTAGATGTGTTTCCATCTAAAGATGAAAACTTCTCCAATGCTTCATTATCTGGGCCGTGGATCTGAACAGCTCACCGTTACAGTGGACCACTTGGCAGCTCCCAATTAATGCCTTTTTTTTTATCAGTTTAGACTGGGACTTGATCTGGACGGAACTGAAAAACACTAAAAAATGTACAAAAAAAAGATAAATCTAACACAGGCTCTAACAGAATAAATACAAAATATTGCTTTTGTTAATGGCATTTATTTTTTTCAAGGGTACCGGTTAAATGGGACTAAGCGTAAAGAAGAACCAAGGTATCTGGTTTATTATGAAGAAGTTGCTTCATAAAGACCAAACATTCATCTAACATTCAGAAGGTCGGGTCAGGGGTTAGATTTAAAGCCGGCGCATGAAGCATCATCACAAATACAGTCGTATATTAGGTCGGAATAAGTGGGAGCCAAATAATTACACAGACTAAGTGAACATGACTTTCTTTGTACAATGCTTTGAAAGGTCAAAGAGATTATCAAAGTGCTTCATTATCACGGCACACTCACCATTTGTCATCTTAAAATGCATAGTGTGAAGGTTAGCAGCCGTTAATGTCCAGAATTGTATTCATGGTCTGTTAATGGTTGGCCTGCTCTAGGATCTTCAGGAAGGAAGGACACAGATAGGATGAAAAATAATATAAATCATTTATAAATCAATACATGAAGTTAATTCAGGTTATTCACTTTACTTTTATATCTTAATGTATTGTTTCCACTCAGTTTGTTTCTGAAAACACTTAACTTTCCTGTAAAGCTAAGGTTTATTGATTATTTTTAATCTTTTCTTCCACTGACTTTTTATTTAACCAATACCCATATGTAATTTTTTAATCAAATCTTATTGTAGATTACTTATTAAAAAAACTTAAATTAAACCTTTGCAGCTTTTTAGTGGAACTCAAGTAGTTAAAGTCAAATTAATGTCAAATTAAAAGTCCTGAAAGTTATAGATGATTCCCAAAAATATGAGGATAGTTGAGAACTGTAGATTTTTGAATGATGCAAAGTATCTTAACAAGGAACATGAAACCCTTAAAAAACTAAAAGCTGATTCGCTACACCAGGATGAACTTTTAAAGCTGGTGCTATGAATTTAACATACTGTTTCAAAATATAGATTACATGATTTTGTACTTTATACATAAATTCATGATTTACTTTTGTAGCTTATTTATCTACCATGTGTTATTTTACAGAACATTTAAAAACTAAAATGGATGAAGAGCAAAAATACCTTGCTCAATTTTATATATATATATATATATATATATATATATATATATATATATATATATATATATATATATATATATATATTTACAGATGTTGCTTACCTTAAAACCAACATCATACTGATGTTCACTGAAGTTAAAGCCAGCATCCTCTTGCATCCACAACCAAACAGGAACTTGATGCAAACGTTTTCTTGCAAATCTTCAAAGAAAAGCATCTCTTCAGGGAAGTGCTGACAGACCGTTTTTATCACACGCAGAGAAACTGTAATTTACTGAGCGATGATGAGAGTGAAAGCATTGTGACGGTGTCTGAACTTTAGCGGAGGTCTAATGGAGCTGCTGAGAGCTGAACGGCAGCTTATAGTGACTAACCAATGTAAGATATGGATTGTCTGTGCCCTCTGCACCGATTCAAAATGGCAAACCTCGCAACTTTCCATAAAAATGCTAATAGGGATTACGCAGAGAGCCTCCAGCACTTTCCAGCCACCGAAAGAAGCTATTATCTGGAAATTTAGTGAACATTAGTCCGATAAAGATTCCTCCTTCCTCGCTCCGTCACTAGGTGGGGGAATTAATGTGATTTAGTTGCATAATAATTGAGATAGGGCTTTTTGTGTCTAGGATGCAGTCAGGTAAGTGATGGACATGTTGAATCATCATCAGAGAACTGAGTTAGTACCAACCCCCCCCCACATACAGCACCGTCACATTGCATTACCGACTCAGCGGCACAGTATCATCACCACGAATTAGTGTTAATGAACAAAAGCGAGTCGACTGAGGAGAGAGATAATCAAACTTTTATTAAATGACTTAATCTTCTGTACATGCAAAAAGAGAAATAGATCTGTGATGTTGGTCTATATGGGACTGACCTTTAACCCCTAAATCTGGGAATCTCTCACTGATTTAAGATGATCTGCTGCAGCAAGGGGCTTCCTGTATTACAATGATCTAAACAAGAGAAAGTGGATCTCAACAGAATACATACCCCTTTAAAAAACAAAACTAAAGTCCCATCACACCCACAAACATTTGGATTTTATTATTAGAATTTTATGTTACAGACCAGCACAAAGTAGCACTTAATTGTGAAGTAAAAAGAAAATATTAAGGTCTTTAAATATTTTACATGTTAAAGCTGAAGTGTATGGCATGCATTCAGCCCCTTTTATTCTTCTACCACTAAATAAATTGGTGTGTATTTAACTATCCTTAGATACAAATCGAAAACAACCCAACATTTTATTCTTGGAGTATATATAGTTCTTTCAAGGCCTCAGAGACACCTTCATTGACTATGAAGAAACGTGGTGGCAGCATCATGCTGAGGGAAAACTGTTCTAGTGAGACAATGATCTTAAATATACAGCCTGAACCTATTGATGGTAGAAATCAAAGCTCAAGGCATCAGAATGGACCAGAATCAGACTAAAAGGTCTAAAGTTCACTGAAGTGCTTCCTGGGTATGTCCGACCTTAAGCTATTTCCGAAAAATAAAGGTACAACATTTTACTCCATCAATGTACAAAGCTGGATTGATATAGATTACCAAATCTTACATGATTTTAATTTCTAAAACAAAAGCATTATTTCCATTTTCCTTCACAATTACGCCACAACTTTTGAAATCACCCCTTGTTATAAAACCCCAACAATATATAAAGACGTAAGTGGCTTTGATGTAACAATGTGGGAAGATTCACAGGTCATAAATGTTTCTGCACAGGACCGAACATAAAGTGTGTTTCCTTATCTAAACAGTGGATATAGTTTGATCCATCATTTCACTTTACTATCATAAGAAATAGTTCACCTAGCAGCCTGGGTGAACCTGAAAACCTATCACTATTTGTAGCAACATGTAAATATCCCTAAAGCCTTTTGACACGGACTACAATAAAAGTCAAGATGTTAATAAGATGCATAAACTACAGAATTGATACATTTTCGGCGTCTCATTTCATTTTGACATAACTTTAAAGATTTAAGAGGCTTCCACTGGATTGAAATTTACCAAAAGGTTATTAGAAATTGGAATAACTGGAATGCAATTTATTCAATAAAGCACCAGGCTTTAACAAGTTCAAAGAAAAAAAAGAAAAAAGTCTCATGCACTTTAAGGCACTTTGGCTGCTGATACTGTCAAAGTGAGTTTAATTTGGTCCAAATGCAGCATATCTTTATCTTTGCGCGACTCAAAGTCGTTGTACAGGACGCAAGATTTTTTTTTTTGCTAGTAATTTGTTTTGTTTTTCTGTGCTTGGGTATTAGAGCGTATACATTCAATGGTTTTTCTTTATTTGACAAATCTAGAACATGAACAATCTAAACAGGCTATATACAACACATTTACATTAAATATGTTTACGATGTCAGATAAACCCTACCACTCAGCTCAGATTGGAATACACTTAAAGGTTTTAAGTCTCCAAAGGCTCTGAGTTAATTTGCCCCTTATTTTCATTTCGTACCCATGTGCAGTTTATTTTTCTTTTCAAATGTTTTCAGCATTTAGAGATAAATAACTCTTTTAGATGGAAGGTTTTCTCAGAAGTCATATTCTACCCTCCAGTTCTTTTTTTTTGTGATCCATGTTTAAGTAATAAAGATCTCCTAAATATAATAGATCAAGTAACACTGATTAAACCAGAATACCCAAGTAGCCTCCTGCTGGTTCATATAGTGTATTACATCCACATTTCAACAGCAGAAAAAGGATGATTGTAGAAAATTGACTAAAATTTGGATGCCAAACCAGATGGTAAGGAGCTTCTTGACTGAAGTTACCATGAAACATCAATTGGCCCCATTTCGTACTAATAAAAAATGGGTACAAAAAGTAATTACAGGGGGGTGAAAAGGGGGCAAATTAACAGCATCTGACTTAAATGATGACAAGCTAAAGTAATCTACACCAAATGAAACAGATACAGGCCACACTGCAGGATCTGATGTCAGGGAGTTGTTGGCGTCGCTGGAGCAGCTCTACCTCGTCAGCTGTCCCACCACCTTCAGCAGAGTCTTGTTCTCCTGTTTGAGCTGCTCATTCTCATCTTCAATCTCATCCAGGTCCTGTGGACAGGGCATAACACAGCACCGTTTGTAACATCCTAAACATGAATGTTTAACGCCGTATGTTGGGCACCAGGAGTCTGAAAGTTTGAAGTTTCACTTGCTGAAAAGTCAGGCTGTTTCGATAGCGGCAAATTAGCCATTAACAGCGTCAATTAGGAGAAAACGACGGCAGCTCCAAGTTGCCACAGCTCTCTCTCATCAAGCTGACACCTCTCATTTATTCTCGCCTCCATCACTGCTCATGGTTGTGCTGTTGTTGAAAACGAGCTGAACAACAGTTGGAGGAAATTAAAGTGTCCTCCTAAGGAGGCACATCTTGGGAGTTTGAGGAAAAAAACGATCTAATCTTTACCCTGGGAGTTTTTATGAGAAAAAAAAAAAAAGCAAAACAGCAGCAGAGGAAGTGGATTCATTAAGTTTCCCGACCAAGACTCTTTTTATTTGAAAGTCTAATCTACAGCATTGAGTAAATATCAAGTTCCAGTTTTTGTTTGGTTTGTCCTTCTACATGATGGGGCAGGGCGGCCTGCTGGCTGAATTGAAGTTTTCCAAGACACAGAAACTAGACCGCAGTAAATTTACACAACTCACATTGCACCAGCAGAAAACTAAACAATCAAGACCCTCAATAAACCTCTAGGTAGGTATATTGGCATATATAGGTCTTTATATCACCAATTACACACATTCAATCAGATACAGTACTAGGCTGCATATATTGACTTTGAAATAAAAAAATAAGGATTAAAAAAATAAATGCATTATTAGAAGCATTATTAACTGTTTTATAGTCCATAAAAGGAGTTGTTTTGGTCTGACCTCTGTGTTTATCACTGGTTCTTATTTTGTAATCTGAGCATGATCTGTGGAGCTCCTCTGGGCTTTGCAGCGACTTTGGTAAAATGGACAGAAACTATTTGAGTCCTACAACCAGCACTTAGTATATTATCTCAACTTGCAACAAAACATTATTTATTGATCCATCCATCATGCCATTGCAGTTTTTCTTTCTGCTACTTTCAACAGGTTTTTCTTTATTTGATGCTTAACTTTTACTGCTACCTTAAAGAATTTGTGTTTAATTATAATATTTTACTTTAGGTAATCCTAGCCCCCCTTAAGAAATAAATATAAGCAAGATGTATTGTATTTTTTTTTAATCATATTTTACAGTAAAATTTGTTTGATCCATTTTTTTAGATGTTTCACCAACAACTTAATTCAGATTTTGTCAACCAAAGAATATTTCCCTCTGTGCAATACACCTGATCATTATACTTATTGATATTTGAAGAATCCAGAAAACTACCTAAAGGGAGTAATACTAATTGTCGTGGTAATATTGTTTTCAATAAAGTCATTGCAGGTTTTTCTCTTGACGTTCAGAAATGTTCCCATTAGAAATCTGATCTAATCGGGATCAATAACAGACCTCTGAACTTATGCGAATTTAGGTGATAGAAGTTCTCCCCCTGGAAAGCTTATCACAGAGGAGATATAATCCACAATCTGTGCGTTATCTTCTTTTTTTGATCCAAATAAACTTCCACGGTGTCTGTGGGTTCAATCTCCCTCTGCAGAGATGCCGACTGGATGAGCCGTTATCTCCTGCCTGACATACGTTTCCTGCAGCAGTGATATTTCTCATGCTTCTTCCTGCATCCTTGTATCGAGCCCTGCTGTTATAACAGGATGCATGTCCCTGTGATGCTATCGGTGACGCTTCTGTAATATTGCAGCCTTTGTGTTTACAGATGGATTGTGAGGCGTCCGTCATAGCAACAAAAGTGGACAGATAATAACTAGAAGGCATTCATTCTACTTGCAGCCAAAAATGAGCCCATCTCTGAACGCCATGTTTGATCTGTTTGGATTGTTTTTTTTTTGTAGATCAGCTCCACATGAAAAAAGATAAATTCTCTGAATAGTTCAGATATATGACAATCTTTTCTGCCAAATTTGCTCTGAAAGAAGCAGGAGGACAGATGTTCTGTCAGCCAGTAGGCAGCGTAGAGCTTAGCTTAGGTTGTTGATTGTCTGAGTAAAAAGGTTTAGAGGAATGAAATATTTTCATCTTCTTATAGTTAGTGTTTGATTGTAAGAAAAATTCAAATTGTGGTCTTTTCAATTTGAACAAAAGTAAAAAAACTGAAAAAACAGAAGAAGGGTTAAAGCAGAAAATGTCTTTATCAATAGAATCAGGCACATAATTAACATTAAAGAAAGCCCCACTAATTGAAAAAGACGTCAGCTAAAACCTGATCGTACTCCTAATTAACGTGACACTTGAGTGTGACCTGTTGGGGCACCAGTTAAAAAACAGATCTGAGGGAAATATCTGGCTGTTTTTAGATTCATTAAACAGTAAGGAGGACACTGTATCCTGCTGGTTAAGCTGAACTTCAAAAGTCTTTTTTTTTAAGGAGGAGTCCAGCTGTGAAATAACATCTTTCCTCTAAAATGGTGACTGATTGTAATCTTTGTCTTCCCACCAGTCTGACAATACCTCTCTGATTGGGAAGTAGGCAGCGTTGTTATTTCATGATCTTTTTGTTTGGCTTTTGGCTGTACTTTTAATGAATGTAAAATAGCACAGCAGGGATGAGAGCGAACATCTTTCAGAAAGTTTTTAATCAAATGCTTAAGTACTTCACTTTTTTGACAATTTTCACTGAATTCCTGCTTATCTGCATAGATTAAAACCTACTTTTGCAGGAAAATAAACCCCTGCACTGTTTCTTATTGATTAAAACCCAAATCTAGCATTTCTGTTTAAGCAGTCTTAATATGTGAATAAAAGAAAACAAAAGAAAAAATTTTCCTCCAACAATACACTCAAATCTCCAGTAAAATGCCAAATCATTTCAAGGCCTACACAAGCCGCCCACTTTGCAAGACAAAAAAATAATAATCTGTCAAAATATCAGACGACAGAGCAGATTTTACTGATATTAATGAGGATGATGGAGGCTGCACCCACCAGGTTCAGCAATTCGATTTCTTCCTTCTGCTTCTCAATTATATCCTCTTTGTCCTGCAGGGCCTTCAGCAACCTGGATTGCTCCTGGAGAACAATGGCCAGCTCCTAAAGAACAGACAGTTTCACAATTAGTCAGCAAACTTATCATACAGTCAAAAAAATATATAAATGTACAGAAGAATCATTACTACCTAATAGGATCTTACAGACAATATGTTAAGACTATCGGTCAGGCAAATGTTAATTACAAAATTATTTTTTATTTATTCGGGGTATTTGCAGACTTTCCGAAGTACAGAAATCCTTGTTTGTTTATAGCCATTAAAGTGAAAAAGATTAGTTTGATGTGAATCTAAAGCAACTGTTTCTAAAGGGTTTCATTGTGTTACCAGCAATGAAACCGAGACGGAGCCAAAAAAAACAAACCAGAAGCCCAATGGATGGACAGATGGGGGAGAAAGAGATAGATGAATGATGACAAACAGATAAAGGGAACAACAAAGGATGGATGGACATTTGGATGAACAATCAACGGTTTATGAATGGATGGATGAATAAGAAGATGTATAAATGGATAGTAGCATGGATGAATGAATGGACATAGCTACAGAAAAACATATATGCAGGAGGATTGAGAGGAGAGAGGATGGAGGGATGAATAAAAGAATAGATTGAAGGAATGAAAAACAGATGGGTAATGTTAAAGAATTGGAAATTATACCAAAGTTAAAATCCACATATCTCTTTAAACATTTCCTTTACTTATTCATACGTAGAAAAAATGTAATATAAATTAAAGGACACCTGAAAGACAAATGTCCAGAACCATTAAACAGTTTTCCAAAGAAGTCGAAGATAAAAACTAAACTTATTTCATCAGTTTCGTTAATCTGAGGGACATGGAGATGAAAGAAACTTTTCCCAATTCTTTCTATATTTCTTTATGATAAAAGAAACAAAAAGTAATTAACCCTCAATAACCACGAAAGATTCCACCTTTAGTAGAAAATGGGTTTTACTTATAGTTCATTGGCATTGGAACTTATTAATAAACCTATAAGAGGATAAACTGCTATATTACTTCCGAAAGAACATACTTTTCTATTTTCCAATTCCCTTTTATCCATTTAGTTACATGTGGACAGTAATGTTTCTTTTTTGAAGCAAATTGTCCCTAAAGTCCAAGCTGTCGTTCTTTTTGTAACATCATTTCCCGCTTATACTGTTTCTGTTGCAGACATAAAATTGTCTCCATAGTGACAAATCTTGGAGGTGCAGAAAACCGAAAAATATAAAGCAGATGTAAATGTTCCCAAAAGCTAATCCTTTCTTTTTTTTTAAACCCTACACCTTAAAATATAATTCCTGCAATTCTATTTAATCATTGATTTATTTTAAGGGTTAAACTCAAGGTTAGTTATTTTTGTGCGTGCCATTTTACTCTGCATTCTCAGTGTGGGGCTTTTAGGTTATGTCCTGGGATCTAAAGTTAGAATCTCCAACAAACAGACCAGCATCAGAACTTAGCTACGCATATAAGAGCAAAAGACTGAACCTGCAACCAAAATAAATGCAGCGCAAAACACCTTTTCCACAGCACTTTCAGTCATTTGACCCACAGAAACATCTCACGCTGCAGTCAGACAGGTCACCGCCGTGCTGACTTTAAAAACCTTTCTTCCAAAGCTACTCGTGTGACATTTGATTCCAAGTGGGGTTTTTCACCGTAGAAGCAGTGAGAGGTTGAGTGTCTAATAGTGGCAGCGCAGAAGGAAAAGACATCTGCGCCGTTAAAAGGTTATCTCTTCCAACAACATGGAGGATTTACGGACCAGTTTCAGAGGGAAAGTCAAAAATTAAACAACTGCACATAGCACTGAAATCGTCATCTGAACAGAGTTCTTTATTGAGGCATTAGGTCTAACAAGCTAATGTATCCAGTTCAAGATAATGATCATTCCATAGATATAATAGCGACCTTTAAGCTATACCGTTTCAGTCAAGGAGATGAAAACACAAGGAGAAATAAGCAAGCACGCAAATTATTGAACTTATTTTTATTAATCATGCGATTAGAATTTATTGTGCGATTAATTTAATATTGCAACAGGCCTACTCTAGACTTGAGACTTGACTTGGACTTGCAAAAAATGACTTGTGAACATGTCTGACATGAAAACACCATGTAGGAGGGCCGTAGCCCAGGATTTCAATGTGGGACTTTTTGGCTGAAAAGCATCAGATGAGAATAGTGCCACAATACAGCCTACCCCTTCAGCATAATCCTATCATCAACACTGGAAATCACTTTCAGTCTAATTAGCAGGCTGTTTACTATGCAAGAGGAACAGATGTTCTTTAAATCGGTTCCTTTTATTAGCAATATTTACCTTCAGAGAAATATGTGAAGCAACCATCATGACAATAAAATTCTGTCTAAACCTCTGAGGCCTTCATTGAACATCTGTATTTATTCTTCTATTCAATGACACACATGTTCTCTATGTACTAACTAGATGACTTGTGAATGCAGCTGCTTTTTACTGGTTTTAATTTAGGGTATAGTGTCATATAGGCGTAAAGTTTCTAAATAAATACACATGCATTTCTTACTGATGAAATATTTCTAATAATAAAGAAATTATAAAAGAATTTATCTCACACTTTAGTTATGCACCAGCTTGTGTTGGTCTTTGAAGTGAATAATATTGCGCCTGTTTGGAAAGAAAACCTCCTTTGACCTTCTAACAGCAGGCAGGGAATATTCCCACAAACGGCTTTGCTCACCTAAAGCATCGACGGAGCAGATGCTCCGTTTACTCACCTTTTTGTTCATAGAAAAAAACAAAACCTTTGTGTGTTTGCAGCCTGATATTTCCCTATATGATGTTAGTCATGTGATGACAGGTACAACATGTCTGTGGATCCTGTGGAAGTGAAGAACAGCTGAGTGAACTTACCCTTTCCAGCTCCTCCACCCTCTTCTCCAGACTACCACCTCCACCCTCTCTGCTGTGGCGGTTTTCTCTCTGTCTGCTGCTCTCACCGGCCTCCTCTTCCATCTCCTGTTTTGCAGAGCTGTAAAAAAATAAAACAAACCATATTTAAACCTTGTTAAACTTAAATGTTGGTTTTTGAACTTCACGTCCTTTAAGAAGTTGAAGGACATGAAGGGGAGGCATTCAGGTCTATTCAAATGTGAAGTATGTTAACATTGAGGCTTTTTGAAGGTATGAATCAGAGGAACATTATTAAACTTCAAAAGGATGACACATCCATCTTGAAAAGAACAGGTGGGAATATGTTCTGCGTATTTGCCCTTTCAATTAGGCCTGAATTATTAACACCCACTCTGCCTTTTTCTCTTTTTTTTCATGGTGAAGACAAAGATGAGGACTGAAACTTACTTGTACAAAAGGCTTCTGATTAAGAAACACGCAGTTTCTTCCAGCTTCAAACAACCTCACCGTCACTGTTTTTACGTTGCAAAAAAATGTATCAAAAAAATGTTTTAAATAACCTTGAGCCAAACACAAACATAATCTAATTTTTTTTTACTTGCAACTTAGAACACAAATCAACTGAAAAATAATATTCTTTCTTTTTGTTGTTGACCTTTTTCTAATAACAAAATTAGATGCAGAATGTGGGAAGTTTATAAAATCTCCAAATAATAGTGATATGCTCACGCTTAAATTGACAGAAATATCTGCAGGAACTGCTGGATAGGAACGCATGATCCCAGAGAATCGTAAAAAAAAAAAGATTTTAAACATTTCTAATCTTTTCTTTGGTCATCTATGGTTCCATCGCATTGAAATGCTATCCTCTGCTCCCTTAAGACCTTATCCGACTGGCTGAATAATAAATTATAAGCAAACTTGGAAAAACTATAAACACATTGCACTCCAAATATTTCTGTCATAAGTATTGCTCACACTTACAGCTAGAATCATATGTTGTGCAGTTTATTGCCAGAAAGGAATAACAGACAACATCCCAAAGTACTCAGATTAAGGAAAACCAGAGAAGAGGAGGTGGATCATTGACTTCAGATAACACTATCCATCCATCCATCCATCCCTCCATCCATCCCTCCATCCATCCATCCATCCATCCATCCATCCATCCGTACCATATACTGACTTAGGAAACATGGAAGGTCCTTTATTTGAAGGGAAGGAGGTGCAGCTAAACTTAAAGGCATGAAAGATGATTTTTCTCAGAAATTAAATGTCCAGAGTCGTCTAAAATTACCTGATTGATGGATTGCATTCTTGCACTTATGCCCCCCCCCCCTCCAAAAAATAAAACTCTGACCATGGTGGGGCCTACTAAACATTAGCCAATCTACTTTGCCTACTGTTTAAAGTAGATTGGCTACTTGTTTTTCAAGCAATCATTGTCCTTATGTGCCGCCATGGCGTTAATTACGTAGGCTCAAAGCGTAACTCATGTGCTGTTTGGCTAGCGGTCCGCCATTATGCCGAAGCATGAAGAAGTATTCCTACATTTGTTTGCTGTTGCAACTTTTTTTTTTTTTAGCTATTTGTTCACTCTTTTTTGTAAACTGGAGCATCAATTGCCGAAAAGAATCCTGACAAACCTAATCGGAAAAGAAACCTTTTTTTTGTTGCAGTTGAAAAGAGGAAAGTGGGAGAGAACAGAAGCCCTGAAGGAGTAAAAGGGTCTGAAAACGGATGCTTTGGTGGCAAAACTTCTGATGGACAGGTAAATTACGTTTAATTCGTAAGTTCTATAGTTTTTTAAATTATGAAACGTGCAGCAACAAGAAGATCCAAAAATGTATAAAATAAACTTTCTGGTCCAAAATGTTATGTTCTTCACCGTTTGATAAAAAAACAAATAATTTTGGTCTACTTGCAAGTGAAACTGAGTGAATCTAGAGATGAAATGCATCAGAATAACCCATTAGTGTAAAAACCAAGTGAATTGTATTGTGGTTCCAAGTGTCATGGCAAAAATTGTATATTTTTCCTTGTGAAAGGCTTTGATTATTTTGATTTGGTTTAAAGTTATTTTCAAAAAAATGTCAAACTAAACATTAAAATCCAGAGAGAACGACAGGACTTCTTGCTTAGAAATTACACTTTCTCAGCTAGCAATATTTTGATGTATAACAACCAAATTAGCTGAGCTTTAAAATAGAGAAAATACATCCGACTACAACAGAAACAGTTTAATGCCATCATTTGCCATCTGTTTACCATCTTGTTTGCTGTTTAACTTTAAAGCCTACCTTCATTATTGATTAAAACTTTCAGTTCCTTGGTAACTTATTCAAATTGTTTTATTTTTGCCGCTTTCCTATATGATCAGCAATCTGGGTCTGTAACTACGGCAGCATAAAGGAACCTCTTCCTCTCTACAGGCTTTGGTTCTGATACGTTGCTCTGATGTAGTTAGAACACTGCTAGTTCGCTGCCTGGCCTGCTGCTCATAGTAGGTAGCTGCTTGTGATAAAATGCTAAAACAAGCAGCAGTCATAGCTGTTTGTTGCTGTCAAGGCCTTTTATTTGGCTTTCAAAGCCACAGTATGAAACATTTAAGATTTCCTCACCCATTTCTACTGAGCCTGCAAGGCTATTCTGTTGCAGAAACACGGTTTATCTACAACTCTTCTCTTCAGATCTTCCCTTGAATTTTGTAGCACTCTCTCTGTTACTCATCATCTCTAACCTTGCCCAATGCTATATAACCACTGGCAGCAAAACAGATTCTAAGCATGAGTAACCTCTTGTGAACAGCTTGCTCATTGTCCTCAGGTTTATGACCTAACCTTGACACTTGCAAAAATAAATATTGTGATTGTGTCATAACTAGGTTTTTTGTTTGTCTAAACATAAACCCTCACCGTCTTGTAGGTAATTAAATTAGACTTTCCTTTTTTTCCTGGAAAATTAGCCATTTAAAATAAAGAACATTCATGTAAATATTGCATTAACTTCTAACCTGAACTTTATGCGACCATTTAAAAATAAATCTTCTTCTGGCTTTAACAAAAATTATATTAAAACACTGAATAGTAACACTATAGTGCCAAAAATATTTTTTCACCAGCCTTAACTTGCTTCTGAGCTTAAATTACAGACATTTCCATATAGGTTCAATAGGAAGTTGTTCTCCCCATTGCTGCTCGAACAGCTTCGACTCTTCGGGGAAGGCTGTCAACAAGGGTTAGGAGGGTCTATGGGGATTTTTTCACCATTCTTCTAGAAGTGCATTTGTGAGGTCACACTGATGTTGACGAGAAGGCCTGTCTCTCAGTCCTTCTGCTCCAATACATCCCAAAGTTGTTCAATTAGGTTGACGTCAGTCTTGTTGGAAGAAGAAAGGGCCGGATCCAAACTCTTCCTACAAAGTTGGGAGTATGGGATTGTCTAAAACGTCTTGCTATGCTGAATTATTCAGATTTCCTTTTACTAGAACCTAGGGGGGTCAAGCCCAGCTCCCAAAAAACAACTCCAGATCATAACCCCCCCACCACCAAACTTTACAGTACTGTTCTACTTAGGTGTGTAAATTACATCAATCAATGCGATTCAATTCAGTATCGATTTCCTGACCCAACGATTAGATTATTTTCGATACTCAAGAATACACTACGGTGCGATTCGATTAATCGATTAATCTGTTAATTTTCTTTTTTTTTTTTTTTTTTTTTACACCTTACAGGCTAAACAAATTTTAAAGTTTGAAATAAATCAATGAAAGCTGTAATCCAATCCAATCCAATCCACTTTATTTATATAGCACGGTTTAAATAAACACAAGGTTTCCAAAGTGCTGCACAAAAAGATAAAATAACTAAAATAAATAAAAGTAATAAAATAAAATAAAATAAAAGCACTGCCCGCACAGGATAAAAATATGCATGTGTATACATAAAATCAACATGTGTACATAAAATCAACATGTGTACATAAGATCAACACTCTACATGGTGTTAAAAGCCAAAGAAAAGAGGTGGGTTTTAAGAAGAGTTTTAAAATGAGACAGAGAGGTGGCCTGTCTAATGTGCAGCGGCAATGCATTCCAGAGTTTTGGAGCTGCAACAGAAAACGCTCGATCCCCTCTGAGCTTAAGCCTTGCTTTAGGCACTGTCAGGAGCAGCTGATCAGCTGACCTGAGAGATCGGCTGGGAGTGTAGGGGTGCAGAAGCTCAGAGAGGTAAATTGGGGCAAGGCCATTCAAGGCTTTAAAAGTAAATAAAAGAATTTTAAAATTAATCCTAAAATGGATGGGCAGCCAGTGGAGTGAAGCTAAAACAGGTGAAATGTGCTCGTACTTGCGTGTGCCAGTTAAAAGACGTGCAGCAGCATTTTGAACAAGTTGAAGACGAGCAATTGAGGACCCAGCAATCCCCACATAAAGTGCATTACAGTAATCCAGCCGAGTGGTCACAAAGGCGTGGATTACTGTCTCAAAGTGCTTTCTCTGAAGGACTGGTTTGATCTTTGCCAGCTGCCTTAGCTGGAAAAAGCTAGATTTCATTACAGCTTTTATCTGGCTGTCAAATTTAAGGTCTGAGTCCACTTTTACCCCGAGGTTTCTTACAGTTGGTTTACTGTATTGCGATAGAGAACCTAGATCAACTAGGGAGGGGGTCACAGATGTGCCACCAAAAACCATGACTTCTGTCTTTTCTTCATTAAAATTCAGAAAATTTAAAGACATCCAAGCTTTAAGGTCATGTAAACACCTTAACAGTGGTTCAACAGAGTAGGAATCAGCCTTTTTGAGGGGGACATAAATCTGGCTGTCATCAGCATAACAGTGAAAGGAAATGCCATGTTTCCTGAGAATGGAGCCAAGTGGGAGTAGATAGAGAGAAAATAAAAGAGGGCCAAGCACGGAGCCCTGTGGGACCCCACATGAGAGAGGAGCAGTGGAGGACACAGAGTCATCAAGGCTGACACAGAAAGTCCGATGTGACAGGTAGGACATGAACCATTCCAGTGCTAAGCCCCTGATGCCCACCCACTGTTCCAAACGAGCAATCAGGATTTCATGGTCCACTGTATCAAATGCTGCAGTCAAATCTAAAAGTACAAGGA